GTAATGTGGCATCAATTTGGGAAAACACCACAAAGTTCATAACCAAAACTACAAGTAAATGTCCCAGCTCCAGTATACGGGGCAGTGTCTTTTTCCTCCCAGGCTCTCAAGTCCAGCAATGTAAATGTCCCCTTCATATGCCCAACCCTTCTCTGCACTCCACTCACAATTGCTGCCCTTGACCACAGAAGACCAGAGTTCAGAGACACATCTGCAGAGTTCAGCTCACATACTGGGGTGGGGGGAGGTAGGCGGCATCTCACCCACTTCGCTGGTCACTGGCTATCCACCTGGTCACTGCTCTCTGGAGCCACCCTGCTGGCCATTTGTCACCCCTCACTGCCACCGCTCTGCTGGCTGCTCCTCACGCCTCTCCATCGCTGCCCTGCTGGCTGCTCATCGCATCTTCCACTGGCTTGTGGTGGATTTGACTCTGGGCCAGACCTAGTAATCTCAGTTTAGTGATTTCAGCTCTGGCCCAAAGCACAGTCCAGCCACAAGAGATACCAGCAGCCACTGGAATAATTTACATACAAAAGAGACTCCTTATAGGGCCTTTCTTTAACTTTATCCTTGAAAGAGTGGAGAGAAACAGGTTGAACCAGTTGTACAGTTCACACCTGGGAAGCATGCAGCCTACTGACTGCCTCTTTCCCCACCTTAATGTATAGGGCTCTGGAAGTGGAGCCTCTGTCCAAGATTCTTTACACTGACAGTTTCTTTCCTTTGAACTGAGTTAAACAGTCTGACTTCTTTGCATTCCCAATAACTGCAAGCATTGGTGATCATATCTTACAATTCCCTCATTTAGAGTTAACACAGTTTGTGACCCCACAACAGTCAAATTGGTTACAATGGGCAAAACACCATGCAAACAGTAGAATATCTAGCAGGCCTACGCAAACTGAGTGAACTGTATTTACATAACCACACCCAGGATTTCTTTCCCATTCTAGCTTGCTGTAATGGAAGCATTGGTTCAGACCCTGCTTACACATAAATGTAAGGATAAATGCATCTCAACTAGTATAAATTACTAGGAATAGACAAGCACAATAATTTAAATCCAGATAAAGCTTTTAGTTTCACCTTTATTTGCTAATAACTTTGTAAGAATACTAATATATTCAAGATTCTGCCTTCATGAAATCTCTCATTTAAAATTAATCATTTCTGCCTGGGCCAACAGAGACATAAATGGTGGTATATGCTACTTATTGGATCAAGAAATAGGAATGTCAACTGTGTAATAGGGCACAACTTGTAATATAGAATGTAGTGCACTGTGATATTTTAGAATTTGTAGTATACGCTAAATTACACCAATGGGTTTTTGGCAGTTGGGGAATGGGAGAGAACAAATTCAGCTCTTGGTATTGGTGTGTGTGCAACTGTTATTGAAGTTGATGGAAGCTTTTCCCACTAATATCAGAACATAATTTGGCACAGTTGCTATTGGTAATGGTGCAATATAAATTCATCTGGTTCTTTTGAGAAGAGACTGCTGTATCTTCCATCCTCCAATTGGATTCTTTTCCTGTAATATCTCATTTCATGGATTTGATATGTCAGTTACACTACTTTTGCCCACCTCCTGAATGCCAAATCAGTTATGGAAAAGTTACAAAACTTTTCCCACTTTCAACTATTTTTTGATCCACAAACCCCTGGCAGGCATTGGGCACCATCTATTCTTCTAGCTCTTTACTGATTCCCATCACCACACCATGTTGGGACTCTTCCTCCACTGTGTGTCTCCACTGAATTTGGCCAGAGGATTCCATGGGAATGCCATGCACTTACTGCGGGCGGAAGCTGAGCCAATGTGTTTTCCTTCTTAAAGCTCTGACAGCTCCATTAACAATCCTTCTCTGCTTTTTCCAGCCAGAATCCAGACTTTTGAGGGAAATGACAAGAGACCAGAGCAAGACAGTGACCTCACCAGTCAGGAGTCCTCAGCTCGGTCATCGACACCCCGAAAGAATGGCAGTGTCTTGAATTTTGAATCTCCAGTACCCAAAGGCAGCAGAATACAAACAATCTCACAATCCATACCCCAACCGGATGTTGCTAGGCCAGCAAATATAAGTCCAGCAACTCCAACCCACTTAACGCCAACTCCCTCTGTTCCTAGCATGCAGAAGCGTAGAATTGACCAGGCTGCAAACAGGTGAGGTGGTCTCTTATTGCTCAAATGGAACATATCCCATGAAATATCCAAATTAACTCAACCATGAACAATACATAGGCTGAGTAGTTTTTAAAAGCAGCTTTGCCCACAGGCACTTTTTAGGCTTCTGTGGAATTACCTTTGATTGTTAGAGTGGATTCTAATGTTTTTGAGCAGATATAATTTAGTAAGTCCCTACATCTGTTTAAAGTAAAGACAAAACCCTCCAAATTACACCACCTTAAAAAGCAACTCAAATAGGATATTCTTTGTTTACTACATTTGTCAAATTCATGCAAAAAGGCAAAAGCAACAGAGGATTCTCTAAGCCAGTGACGGGCAACCTAGGCTAGTGAGTGGGCCGCATGAGTGGTCCTTCTTCATCTTAGTGGGCTGCAAGAGTGTCATGACCAAGACAGTCTCCTGGGATAGGTAGTTTTGCTAACAGCGCTTGCATACCTAGAATTTTCAAGGTGTGCCCACTGAACCATAGCAGTGCTTTGCATGCAAAGGGAGTGCATGGCTCGCACAGTCAATGTGTGCAAGCAGCATGCACCTCACTTCACCTGCCCTTGCTTTACATGTATGTCACTTTCGTAATACTAGTGTGTGGGGGGAACTATGTGGACAGAAACCAGCAGAATCTCGCAGTGGTAAACAAATATCTCGTGGGCCACATATAGAACCTTGATGGGCTGCATACGGCCCTCAGGCGACAGGTTGCCCACCACTGCCCTAAGCCTTAAAGAACATTCATTAAATTACATATTCTGAATGGCTTTGTAGTTAAGTCATTGGATTGTTGCTTAGGATGTCTGAGCTGGATTTCTTGCTCTGCCACAAATAATTTCTGTGACCTTGGTCAAGTCACTTAGAGCCAGACTATGAATCAAACACACTTTGGAGATAATTTGCTCACATATGTTGCCTTTTTTATTCCAGTAAGAATTTGTTTGTGTAAGTAAGGTATTCACAAAATGTGCCCTAAACTTGTGCCTCAGTTTCCCCATTAAAAAATTGGTTGACTATTTACCTTTGTTGCAGGACTACAGGGGGGATAAATATGTTAATTCTTTTTTTAAGGTATTCAAATATTGTACACGGAAGTGCAAGCGAACTCTGTAAAACAAAGCCTTACCCTCCAGTGACTTTCAAGAAGCATGTTGAAGATGTTCATTCTGAACCTCTCTTTAGGAAAGGTATCCGACAAGTAAATCCAGATGTTCTTGGGGCAGGAGCTCCAGCTTTTGTGGGACGCAAAGTGCCCACCACCAGATATTTTATTGTTAACGAACATGAATCCCGCAAAAAGCTTCTCCGTTCTACCTCCCGGCTTCCAAAACATTTCAGAATGGAGGAATCAGGAGACATAGTTGAATTATATCCAAGGAATGTCAGAAGGTATGTGGTTCGAACACCACACAGGACATACTCCCCTCACTTCAGTGAAGAGGAAGAAGAGGAGGAGGAATTAAGGAGAGACTTGATAAACAGATCCTACCGTCCACGCTCACTCTCGGATCTTCGCCCAGCTCCCCGATTTTACATTGGTGAACGAGTTGACAGTCAAATCCTTACTGGCAAGGATCTAGCCAAAATGCACTACAAATCCTGGGACAATGGCTTTGAGCTAGAACTAGATAGGCCCTCACAAGCCCACAAAAAGTCACATGTGAAACGCGTTGATCTTGATCAGCACTATCCAGAGCATCATGTGAAACCTAAATCCAAGCACAAGCTTGAACAATCTCTAACAGAGTCTGATTCCATTTCCATTTCCAGCAGTGATCAGCAAACCAGCGGCAATGATCAATACATCCAGGTCATTCATAGTAAGGAGAAATATCTGAAATCTGAGGCAAAGCTTACCAGAAACAAATCAAAGACCCATACTGACCTAACCATGGCTGAATCTAATGAACTTGTATGTTCAAATGTATAAGAAAATGACCCTTTGGCTGCCCTTTGAACCACAGAGGATCAATGAAATATAGTGATACTATATATATTTTTGTTAGTCTCTAAGGTGCCACAGAGGACTGACTACTTGTTTTTCAAATTACAAACTATCTTGCTACCTCTCTGAGACTTTGTGACACTGAAATACAATCTTCTGAATGACTGTGTATACAACAGCGTGAAGTGGATACAGCATTATTTAGCTCTGTTAAATTTGAATTGTGCCGGAGTTTAGTATCACATCACAGATGCATTACAAAAATCTGACACTTATTTCTGCAGCCTTGCTCATTCCTGTCAACATATATTGTAAAATGTGTCGGTGGGGCACTAGGGATAATTAAACCACCCATGCAAAACAAGCATGTCAGGTGAGGTTTCTTTTACCTTCTGCTAGTTCTCAAATAGGCCTGTGCAGAACCTTCCCAGTCACAGCTGAGGAGGCCAGAGCTGGGCGGGTCTAGGTCAACCCAGGACAAGGATCCAGCCCGTCGCCCTGAACATAAAGGCTTGTTGCCGACATACACGGGGTGCTTTTGTCACTGGAGTTCTGGGTTTGAGTCAGGGATTGCTGGGTGAGGTCCCTGCTGTGTTGACACTGGTGCACACACCGGCACCCTCTCTGCTGGAGGCTGCCAGAGCAGGAGACACGGAGGGGAGGGGGGAGAGATGCAGGGCGGCCATCAGGTGAGTGGGAGGCGCCGCGCTCTGCCTAGGCTGAAAGCGCCTATGGGCGAGAGCCCAGCCCGCTGTGGGTGGGCTGCAGCGGCGGTGGCTCCTCCTCCAGCTGGCCCGGAGCCCTGCGCTGGCCATGGCCTACCAGGAGCTGTCCGGTTCGCTGGCCGACACCGTGGCGGCGGGGGCCCCTCCTCCAGCTGGCCCGGAGCCCTGCGCTGGCCATGGCCTACCAGGAGCTGTCCGGTTCGCTGGCCGACACCGTGCAGCGCTATCGCAAGGACCCGAGCGGCTGGCGGAGCTGCAAGCGCACGGTGAGCTGGGGGGGACCCCTGGCTCGGCTCCCCCTTCTGTCCCTCCCCCAGGGCAGGGCAAAGCCGCTCATTGTGTGCTCTGGGAACAGAGGGGTGTAGGGTGACTGGCCGGCTCCCGCTGCTGCACTCAGCGCGCTTCTCCTGCAGCGCCCACCTCCGTGGTGTCTAGGCGCCAGCGCTGAACCAGGGTCGACAGGCAGCATGGTGTCGGCGCTCAGCCCCCTGCAGGGAAAAGCCCCACGTTGCTTTTCCAGCTTTCATTGGCAAAGCTGCTAACGATGATCGCTGCTTTGGTGTCACCGTTCCCTTTTCCAGACTCTCTGCCGCTATGAGCTCTCTGGGCCAGAGACTCCGAGGTAGGAAATGTGGCTGAAATCGTTGGATGTTACTATATTTTATGTGCTAGTCCCTGAGATGAGCCAGTAACCGCTGACAAAACTGGCTAGCTATGGCCAAAGAGAGTAGCCTTGTTAATTGTTACTGGAGTCTGAGTCACACTTTTGTTTCACTTTTGATAGAACGAAGTTTCGATTTATTGGAGACCATCAACCGAGTTTTCAGGCAACATGTAAGTAAGTACATGTATTCCAAAGCTGTGGGGGCAGGGGTTTGCCTGTGTCCCCGTGGGAGTGAATAACAATTGCCTGTTGTGAGGATTCAAGGAGCAGCAAAGCAATGCAAAAGTAATATTAATGTCACCCTTTCCTTTCCTACAGATACAAAGGAGATGGAATAGTCTCTGCAAGTCCTGAAGTTGTCTGGGAGTGCTTAAAACCAGTAGCTGGTGGACTTAGAACAAAGTGGGACCACAATGTGAAAGACTTTGAGCTAATTGAAATGATTAGTGATGTAAGTTTCATGAAATTGATAGGAGCATTGTAGTTAAATTCCCATCACAGATCTATTACAAAACTCTGAAAATTAGTTCTGCATTATTGCTTATTACTATATAGAAAAATACATGGTAAAAATAAAATATGTACTTGGGGGGGCGTACCGGAAATAATTAAACCCATGCAAAAGTATGTCAGGTGAGGTTTCAGTAAGAGCAAAAATGGACCCTTATATTTTCAATCACATTTTAGTGCCTTATAGTATATCTTACAGCGTATACATAATCAGATATTTGCAAGATCCTAAAGAAGATGTTGCAACCTGATGTGTGTCCCTCATCTACAGTCTCAAATCATTTTTAGCAATTGGTTATCAGGAATTCTTTTGTTCTGAACAAGCTGTGGAAAATCATTTTATTCTGACAATGTAAATCAAATATGTTTTAAAATGTTTGCAAGTATTTTTACCCTGTAACCACTTTAAGTGACTATCTTTAGCCTATCGGCTCAACAGTATACATTTTATAACCATTCTATTTTCTTAATGGACTCCAGAATCATATTGTTTTATCATACTAACTCTGGTAAGCATTCATAATATTTTTAACAATAGTTGTTGGTAAAAGATAATCTTAAAAAATAAAATACTAAAATTTGTGTTTAAGTGACAAAGAGGGATCACCACCCAACAAATGCAAAGTCACTTACATATTTAACTCTCAGACTTTTGTTAAGGTACCTGCTAGTCTTTTTCCGTCAAAGCACTGAATTCATCTTGCCTTTCTTCATTACCTAAACATGCCCAGCATGAGTGCAGGGGATATTCAATTGAATTTAATAGCTCTTTAATTCTAACTAACTTGAAGATTCTTACAAGCTGATAAAAATAAATACAAAAAGAGATGTTTGTAAACCACTTATGATAGTCTTTCATTCTGTGTTTACAAACTGGTCCAACTGACATAACATTCACCACTGTGGTGGAGCACATGTTCCAGACTATCTAGATAACAAGGGAACTGTGTTAAATTTCCTGTGGGATAAGAAGCGATTCACCGCAATAGAGTTATTAACTCCCCGAAATTGGAGTTTATAAATAAGTACATTTCTGGGTATATCTGTGAGTGACTTTCTTCTTAAAGAGCACTGTGTTGCTTTTTCTATTGTTGTTGTACCCACCTCTCACTGTATTTTTCCCAGAAAAAATGCCCTTGAGTCAAGACTCTTAATTGGTAAATTTATTCATGATGAGTAGCAAGTTATTCCACAAATTTGTGTAATCAAAATAAATGCCAAATATGCATGATAAAAGATATCGCAGTCGGGCACTTATGTTGACACACATCACTTTCCTTATATATATTTATCATTAGTGATTTAACACTGTTTGTGTTTTGTAGACTATCTCTATATGCAGAACTATTACTCCATCAGCCTTCATGAAGATTATTTCTCCAAGAGATTTTGTAGATGTGGTGCTAATTAAGCACTATGAAGATGGGACTATAGCATCTGCTGGTAAAATAGTTAAATTCCTAATACATTTATATTATATTATATTTATTATATTATAAACAGATACCAAAGGGTGGTGCGTGGTTTTTTTGTTGTTGTTTTTTTAAAGGAACAGAAATAGCAATGTTATATTCAATAAGAACCTGAGCCCAGGAATAATGTATTTTTTTCATCCAGATTAAGTTAGAGAACTTTTGCAAACCTCTTAAGCCATTGTAACAAAGTTAAATGCTTTTCTAGGAGAGAGACCCAAAATCAAGATACAAAGATATTTTTTGTCTTCATTAAACAAAAGTTCAATGCTGTCGTGATTGATCTTCCGGAGTTTGATTTAGTGGGTCTTGTTAAGACCTGCTAAATTGAATTCAGAGGGCAACCCCATCAGTGGCTGGTACTCCTGTTTTTGCAAGGAGTAAGAGAAACCACTGGGAGTGTTTTCTCCCATCAGCCTATCACTGTGGGAGACAGCTGGGAAGCTCAAAACAAGGTATGTCAACACCAGCTATATAATTAATGTAGCCGGAGTTGCATATCTTGATTTGACCTTCCCCTTTAGTATAGACATGGCCTCAGTAGTGATGAGCAAGTATTAGTGTTTAATTACATCTTTTTTGCCATATAAAATATCAGTAATATTTACACTCTTCCACCCGTGATTATACTGTCCTCTTTGGATTACCAGGCAGGAATCTTTCTTCATAGATACGTGCAATAAGTCGATGCCTCCTCAAAAGACCAAGAGAGGAACATGTTTGTGAATCTTACATTTGGATCAGAATGTAGGCAACTCAAGATACTGTCCAAACACTGAGATGCCATAATATTGTACAAGCCCAATACATGTCTTTTGAAGGGCCTTGATGTACAGTCCATACCAGTATTCCTGGGCGGTCAGTGCAGCTAGGGCTGGGGGAGGCAGGCCCACAGCCCCACCTACAGTTCCTCCCCCTTTGCTGAGGCCCTACCCCCCAGCCAAGGGAGGGGAGGAGGTAGGGCAGTACACCAAGCGTGCATGCTCCCCCCCCCCCCCACCAGGGGAGGGAAGGGCTGAGGGGGGCATGTATCCCAGTCTCCCCAGCCCACTGGGGAGGGAGGAGTGCGTGTAGCCCCAGCCTCCCCAGAGTACAGGGAGGGCAGGCCCTGGAGGCAGCAACATTCTGCCTACAGCAGGCGTTCTGGGGGCAGAGTGTGGATGGGGCCATGCCTGGCATTTTGAGAAGGCAAAGCCTTCCCCCACCTAAACTACTGGATGCCCATGCCAGTAGTAATCATTCCTATAGCATATGCAGAACTTTGGTTTGTAGTTTTGATGACCAGGAGGGAATTTATGATCGCCATGTATCCCACGGGCCAAAGAACGTCAGCCTCAAGAATCTTTGACTAGCTTTCATCATAAATGCTTCTCAGCTGGTGGTGTTGACTGTGGTAGAAAACTTTTAAAGTGATTTTTTTTTTTTTCTTACAGCAACCAACGTGGAACATGAACTCTGTCCTCCCCATCCCAGCTATGTGAGAGGGTTTAATTATTCCTGTGGTTGTTTCTGTATACCTGTTTCAGGGTAAGAAGTCTCTTTGAATATTCTATATGCAGTACTTTCCCTATGGAAAATGCATAGAAATACTTACCCACAGAAAACAGTCCTTAACTTCAGTGTCTAATGTTAAGTATATACTTATCTGTTGTGCAGAATCAGAGCAAATGTCTTCTTCCAATTCACAGTCCTATCCATAGCGGGTGGGTGGGTGGGTGGGTGTGTGTGTGTGTGTTAATGTGCACCATTCAACAGAGAACCCTCGGGCTGGGGTATTTCTGGTTGTGGCTGGGGAAAATTAAAACTTAAGTGATGTTCAGTGCCCTAGATCAGATCATTAGTTTCTGTAATATTAATGGAGGTTAATGGAGGTCTGCTAGAAAATAGAAAAAAAATATTTTTGTCACGGGAATCCTGGTTTGAATATTTAGCTGAGAATCTATTTCAGTAAAGCACATAAAGGCATGCTTAACTTTAAGTACAGTATATGAGTAGTCCCACTGACTTCTGTGAGGCAATCTTCATGCTTAAAGTTTAGCTCATATTTAAGTGCTCTGCTGAGTCAGGGCCTAAATCAGTTGGGAAATTGACTATTCTTTCCTAAAAGGAATTGGTAAAGGGGTGAATTGGGAAATTCACTTTGTGCCTGCCCTATGGAAAATGCATATAAATGTTTATCCACAGGTAGCACATAACCAAATATAAAAAAATCCTTATAAAATCCTTAATATGTTACACTTCTGGTTGTAAGATAACTTGCGATGATGTGGTGTTTTCTCAGGGAACCAGGCAAGACCCAGCTCCTCACTTTCTTTCAGACTGATCTTGGTGGCTATCTTCCTCAGACAGTAGTGGACTCATTCTTTCCAAGCAGCATGGCTGGATTTTACAGCAATCTGACCAAAGCTGTGCAGACAGTGAAAACTTGACAGGCATTTTCTCAAAGGAAATTGAGTCTCATTATTAAGACGTAAAAAGGAGGGTAAGAAACACTGTTACTGGTGGCATAACAGATTAGATTAAGACCGTGGTTCTTTCACTTTTTGGCCCGTGTCCACTCTGTTCAATGCAGACCTTTAAGTGGACCACCAGCCAACCATCCGTGATGACAAAATGGGTGTAGGAGAGGATGGAGGTTGGGTGCAGGAGCAGGCTAAAGGTCGGGGGGAGGTCGAGATAGGGATGTAAAAACCTAGTTAATTAACTGGTTAAATGTTTAACTGGTTAACTAATTTAAATGGGATTTTACTTCCCTAACCTGAAGTCTGCTGTAGGAAACAACCCCTGGCATTAGTGACATCTCTTCCCCCAAGGTTGTGGTCATGTCTTCCTCCAATATAGTGCTGCTTTTGCGCACTTCCACTCCTGTTCCCCTTGGCTTTTGTTTCTCATGGTGCTGCTGAGGTTGGTATCTCCAAATCAGTGAGTTGCAGTTCTGTCCCCTGGGTTCGTTTGTGTCCCCTCTAACCTCTGTGGGGCTCTTGCTTTGTCTTTGACATGGATGGTGTTTTTGTTCACTAACCTTTTTTGTTTTGTCTTGTTTTTTCTGTAATTTGCTCAGTATGAGGGAGATGTGAGTATTAACTGTGTTACTAGTGCTGTGACTTTCTAAACACCCCTCATTGTCCCTCCCCCTTTCAAAAAACTCAACTGCCTCCCGCAGCAACCCTGGAGCATATTCCACATTCCTAAGGCACCACCCCTCCACTGCTCCCATTGGCCAGAGGGAGCAAAGGGGAAAGTCTCCAGGTGACCGGTTTCATGTGCTGCCATTCTCCCAGCTGGGGGAGGAGGAGGAGTGATGTGCGGAGCAAGCTGGATCCGGCCTGTGAGGCTCCCTGCCCTCCCCTGCAGTGGAAAGCCAGGGCTGGCACTCCAACTTCACAGGGTAAGGGAGATGCAGGGCTGGAGCTCCAGTAAAGGCTACCCACTGCGGGGGGGCGGGGGAGGCTGAGCCCCGACCCCACGGCCCATCTACAAAGGAGTTGGGACCACACTTTGGGTATGTCTACACTAGCTCGTTAGTTCGAGCTAGGTAGGCAAATGAGGGCAACCGGGGTTGCAAATGAAGCCCGGGATTTAAATATCCTGGGCTTCATTTGCATGTTCCCGGGTGCCGCCATTTTTAAATCCCCCTTAGTCCGAACTCCGTGTCCGCAGCTACACGCGGCACGGAGTAGGTAGTTTGAATTAGGATCTCGTTCCATGAGGAGTAACGGTAGTTCGAATTAGAGATCCTAATTCGAACTACTTACTCCGTGCCGCGTGTAGCCACGGGCACGGAGTTCGGACTAAGGGGGATTTAAAAATGGCAGCGCCCAGGAACATACAAATGAAGCCCAGGATATTTAAATCCCGGGCTTCATTTGCAACCCCGGTTGCCCTCATTTGCCTACCTAGTTCGAACTAACGAGCTAGTCTAGACATACCCTTTGGGAACCACTGGATTAAGATAAAAATGGAATAAAGGATCAGAAACCAACTTACAGTGCCTTTTTCACAATATGGATATGTAGGAACGCTGAACTAGGAAGAATTTCTTGCCTCAAAGACTATTTTTAATACGGGATTTTTTTTTTTTTACTTGTCTTTATTTAACTGTACTACCTTGTGATAATGTATTTTCCTATCTGTTAAAATAAGTGACATTATTCCAGCACCTAGCAGTATTCTAGAGGAAATATCAGCTGTCTCCCTGGTTGAGGAGGAAGCAGCACACTTTCATGCCTATTTATGATGATACTTCAATGTAAACCAACAGCATCTCTGCTGAAGTCAGTGTAGTTTCATCAGTGTAAGGCAGATCAACAGGAGCCCTATTATATCCCATATTCTCCCCAGTGATCCATAAGAAGCAAGGTTCCTTTCTTGAAGGGGAGAGCTATTTCCCTTGCTGCTGACATCAGTAAAATCATAGATGTTACTCCAAAACATGGGGTATACCACAATGAGTTGGGTAGGTGAGAACCTATGGCCCCATTCCTTCTGGACTATAAGGGCCTGAACCAGCATGTGACTTCAGTGCTAATATTAAGCGTATACTTAAGTGTTTTGCTGAATCAGAGCAAATATCTTCTACCTATTCACAGATTCCTGGGCCTTGTCCTCTCCCGTCATCCCCCCTCTACCAATAATACTCTGAATTACAAGAATTGTCATAAGTCTAACTGCACATAATGGCAATAAATAAGGAGATGTATGGAAGCACTTTACCACTCATTTTTCTATCTGCATCATGATTTGAATAATTTTCCAACATGTTGAAAATATTGAGAGCATGGGGATAGTCCTTTCTGTAAAGTGTTGTGGACTTGCTTGTTCATAAACATATTTATGACTCTCTTCATGGCATATCCTAGGAATCAGCTATTGATGTAATATACAGTGATGCATGCAGCCCACACAAATATGGATATGGCCAGTTACTTAAGTAATGTCAGAAGTTATTAGAAACAGCATACTATTCATTTATCCTTTTATGAATGAAAAATTATGATTGATTATAATTGAGCTGGAAACATGTAAATCGGGTTGTAATTTTAATTCTGTGTCTTTATTATGTATTTAAATATGTTAATATATTTAAATTTCTGTTCTTGTGGTTGCTACATGTTTGGTTTGTGGCATGTTTATGTACAAATATCTCCACTGTCGTTTTTAAATGAAATTTTCAGGAAGGGGATTAAATTTAATCTATTTTGTATCTGGTTTTTAAGGCTTGCCGGTGTGTGTTGCAAAATAAATACAATATTTTCTGTTTCACATTTTTGTTCTGCTTAATTATCTTTTAATTGTGTCATGGTGTCCTCTCAACTTCTGTTGCCAGTGAGACTTAAAGGAAGTTTGCATTTTTCAAGAGTACTCCAGTTGTCCTGGGTCTTAAGGCCAAGTCTGTGAGGTTGGGAATACCCTTAGTTGTTCAGTCAACTATGGATGGCTACAGTAAAAGCTTTGTTGTCCAGCAGGTACGGAGAATGGGGGGTGCCGGTTAAACAAACATTCCAATTAACAGAATTATACTTCTCAATGGAATACCAATTTTCAAAGAATAAGAATGTGATCAAATGAATGTTCAAAATAGTATGCAGGTACTCACCAATCCAGTCATAGTGCTGCATGGCTGAGTGGTTGGTTTCTTGAAACACTTAGGTTTATACAGGTAAAGTTTTCTATACAATAGGTTATGCTGTGACACTACATATCACTATGGGCAGCACATGACACACACTGAGGTCACTAAAAGTACACAGCCACTAAAACTATACTGAACTTAATTTAATCTTTGATTCAGAAAGTACATCAAGATCTTGCAGCACCTTGGGGCTGTCATTATTAACGTCAATTATCATTGTAGATGTAGAAGGTGTAGGAGATTGGACTGAACATGTAATGATCCTATGACATACCCTGGAAGCTGCTAATTTGAATAAATCCCTGATATCAGCTTCCTTATTTGTCTTCTGACTCTTATGCAAAAAAGAGTGCAGAATGTGCTGGGCAGTATATATTAGTCCCAGTTACTAGATTGAAGATTTGTATTGGGAGATATCAGAAATGCTGGTTAATAGAGCTTTCTGGCTGATAATGTGTCAGATAACACAGCTTTTCCTGTACTTTGGTAGATATTTTAGTGAGGGAGCCCAGCATCTTGCACAATTGAGCCCTTCATCTGCTGTCTGATCCTAGTTTTTTAGTTTTGTTTTAGACTGCTGTGTACTTCAGCTATGCTGCTATGAAGAATAAGAACTTCTGTAAAAGAGAGTTTGGGTTCCTGTCCTGCAGTTATGTTTTTGCTTAACTTTACACATGGGGCTACGTCTAGACTGGCCCCTAATTCCGGAAAAGTCATGCAAAGCAGGTAAGTCAGAATAGGGAAATCCACGGGGGATTTAAATAAACATGTCCGCCGCTTTTTTTCCGGCTTGGGGAAAAGCCGGAAAAAAGCATCTAGACTGGCGCGATCCTCCGGAATAAAGCCCTTTTCCGGAGGATCTCTTATTCCTACTTGCAAGCTGCTTTTTCGAAAGAAAGCACCCAGGCAGTCTGGATGCTCTTTCGAAAAAGCCCTGTTTGCATTCAAGAATGCCTTTTTTCGAAAGAGCACTTTTGAAAAAAGGTGCTCTTCCTCGTGAAATGAGGTTTTCCGCCGTCGAAAGAAAAGCCGCGTTCTTTCGATTTAATTTCGAAAGAACACGGCTGTAGTCTAGACGCAGGAAAGCGGCGGACATGTTTATTTAAATCCCACAGGGGATATTTAAATCCCCCGCGGATTTCCCTATTCTGACTTACCTGCTTTGCATGACTTTTCCGGAATTAGAGGCCAGTCTAGACGTAGCCATGGTGAATGGTCAGTAGGACAACTTTTAGCGTGTAAAATTAAGCATGTGTGTAAGTCTTCACAGGATGCGGGACTTGGGCTATTAAACCTTAGCTAAACCTTAAGCTTGATCCAACAACCTTCACTCATACCAGTTGTCCTTTTTATGTCAGTGGCGTAAATATTACTCTGGGGGTCAGGATCAGACACTTATCTGAATAATTTAAAAGATCAGTCCTGTGAAAGACTGAACACACTCAATTCCATGGCCATCCTTAGGCTTTATGGGGCCCTATGCAGTACTAGGAATAAGACAAGCATATAGGACAAGAAGCAATGGGCTTAAAGTACAGCAAGGGAGTGTTTAGGTTGAACATCAGGAAAAACTTCCTGTCAGGGAATTTATTCCAATGTTTAACCACCCAATAGGGATGGATTTGGCCCCCACAGGCCTTCCCATGCAACTATCCTGGAATTGCATTAACCCAATTTACATTGCATTAACTGTGGGTTTGGGGTGGGAGGGGACACCTTTCACTAATGGTCATGTGTCCATCTTGACCAGGGGTGGGCAATAGGGCCTCCATGGGCCAGATCCCCTGCCCCCAGGCCAATCAGGGTTTATGAGTGGGGGAGCGCATGACGTCTCCTTCCACCCTGCGAGCAGTGCACGGCACTTCAAAGCATTGCGTACTGCTCACAGGGAAGGAAGCAGCTTCCCTTGCCCTGCTCCCACCTCGCGTAAGCGTTCGGCACTTTGAAGTGCCCCCAAGAACTTCCCTTCCCCTCCCCTCCCCTCTCCCCACCCACAGGCCAATCTCTTTAAATGAGTGTTTCTCAAAGTGGGCCGCAAGCACCCACACTGCTTCCCATGGCTCTCCTTGGCTGGAAACGGCAAACTGGAGCCAATGGGAGTTGTGAGGCTCCATGCCTTTGGACCCTTAGATAAAAAAGTGGCGCGGGCCTGCTAGCAGCTTTCCCAAAGTGGGCCTGTGGCTCCCTTTAAAGAACGCTGTTTTAAACAAAGAGGGGGGAGATCAGAATGTTAAACCAAAGATTCTGATGCTCTTAGGGCCTTGTGATTATCCATTCACTTGCTGTATATGAACTTGCATGAACCACAGAAAATGTGTTCCCCTGTTGTCTTTTAGTTTTAGCTCAATAATAAATTAAACAAATGAGTTACAATTGCATTTACTTTTTGTTAATTTTAATTTTGTCATAAGTGATAGCAATACATGGAGGGGATCAAGGACGTAATATTTTCCCAGGAACTGTACTGCTATGTACTGGAGACTGGTCAGATCTTGGATGTAATTACCAGCCTGGAAAAGATGCTATACTATAGTACATTATCAATGTTTACACAGAACTCTCCATTTGAAGCAATGGCATGTGTTAGGTAATCATCAATGCCAGAAATGCCCCAAAGGTATTCAGTATTTTTAGTCACTAAGGCTATGTCTAGACTGCAGGCTTCTTTTGGAAGAAGATTCTCCGGAAGACATTTTCCGAAAAAACTTCTTCCGAAAGGGGGCGTCCACACTGCAAAAGCTCATTGAAAAAGTGATCTGCTTTCTCAAAAGATAGCTTCCACACTGAATGGACGTTATCTCGCATTTAAGCTGTGATTACTATAGATGGAGTGGCCACCAGAGAACCTGTGTTTTTTCCTCTTTCCTCTTCTTTCAAACTAATTCCCTCTTCACCATCCCCACACGCCATTTTCCGAAAGAGCTCTTTTGGAAAAAGGCTTCTTCCTCATAGAAAGAGGTTTACCCATGTCGGAAAACTCTTTCTGTTCTTTCGATTTTTTTTCGAAAGAACATGATTGCAGTGTGGATGTCAGTGAAGTTTTTATCAGAAAAACAGATGCTTTTCCGAAAAAACTCTGTGGTGTAGACATAGCCTAACTGGCTCCACAAGACCAAACTCCCTTAATCGATCTTTGCTATTTTCTTTTTAAACACTAGTGTAGTGGCATTAAAAATTACACAAACTATCTATTCAGATAACCAGGTTGAGTTCTAAATGTCCTTGTTACTCTGGCCCAAATGTTACAAAGTATTTAGGTATTGCTTTGCTCAGTGATGCAAGGCTGAAGTCTCATTTTCAAAGGTGACTTTGACACTTAGGGATACGCTGACTTCCAATGCAATGTAGGCTGCTAAATGACTTATGGTGACTTAGGCTCCTAAATCATGTAGACATTGCAGCGCTGAGCAGCACAGTCCCAGAATGTCCTACAAAATTGTCAACTCTGTACTTAAGATCTTTTTAATTCACTACTGAATTCATTTAATGCTGCCTGGTGTCACAAGCCTTTTCAGATTCTTGTTGCACAGTAAATACTGTGCTGTGGTACAATGTCATTCAGATGCATGTGCTAACTTTGCACTAAGACAAATGAGATTTGCATCTATTGATTCTCTAATCCATCTGATTTAAGGATGCAGCGGGGGAACACAACTTCTTGATTCAGGGCTGCTTGGCCACCGAGTAAGAGACTGCTGTCTGGTGCGATCCTGGTGTGTGTTAGGGGCGTTACACCAGTAGGCGATCAGATGGAGCTCTGTGATGGCCTGTACTGTCCTCTCCTTTTCCTCTCATACCAGTATTCCCTGGAAGTTGAGCACTTGGGCAGCTGCCCAGCAGAGATTCAGGTGCCGCCCAGCTGACTAGCAGAGTGCCCACAGCATTCACAGCTAGCATCACGTGTTTCTATTGGTGGTGCACATCTGCACATGCTTTGGTGCATATACAAATTTTTTTCCATGCATGGATGGAAAAAATAGAGGGAACGTTGTTCATAACCCTAGCACACCCCCCAAATCCTCTTTTTCCCCTTTCAGTGGAGATGGAAGACATCTGATGTAGGAGGCAGCTGAGGTGCCTCTGCCCAGCTTAATGCCAGAAAAGAATACTTTACAGGGGGTATTCTCCTCTGCACTGCCCTGGCTCCTTTGTGTTGGACAGGCTAACGGGTTTGACAGAGTCTCTCCTGTTTGGTCACTCACCCTGCTTGCCCTCCCTTCCTCTCTTCCCCATCGGCTGGGAGCTGTGGGGAGTGAAAATTAGGACCTAACCATTTCTCTTGTGCACTCACTGAGAGTTATTCTGTGTTACCAAGTCCTTAGCTAGGGGTTTGCAGTCAGTCTCTGGAGCAGGACTGAGAATCTGCCTCAGGGTTTTGGCCTGTTTTGAATTTTCCTTAAATTTGGTTTTAAATTCACTTTACAAGCTAGTCTGTGATACTATCGCGTTGATTTACATAGGCTAGAGAGCACTGCAATTGTCATACGTTTTATTTCACCCATTAGATTAAGACCTTTTTAGCATTCTACAACTGGCAACGGCCGATTATGAATATTGTGAAAGGAATTGTGAGCACTTTATATCCTTTTATTCTGGACAGCTTGCTTTGAGGTTGCAAAGACAACTTGCAATATGATCGTCAGTACTTTCACAATATCTGTGGCATGTTGGCATATGGCTTTGAGTAATGAATGTTTTGAGTTTGTTTTAAAATTGGCAGCCATTTCATTCTTCTCCTGGCAAAGTTTCAGATGATTTGGCGGGAACAGAACTTGGATTTTTCCTCTTGAGGATGGCAGTGATGGGCCCGTCGGGTAATGCCTTGATGATATTCCAAGCTTCAAAACGGGTGAGTCCTTGCAGTACAGTTGTGTGCAGCTGCAATAGCTCATCACCAGGCTGAACAGGACTGCTTTGTTCTGATGCTGCTCCTGTGGGGAGAAAATGTATTGACTTCAGTTCTTTTGTGTGAAGAATCTTTGTTGCTGTGACTCAGCGACCAGGGAGAGCGTGACCAGGAACAGCTAACAGGAGAGTTTGGAGAGGGAGATTTCCAGGTAAAAGAGGAGTAAAAACGGGACCCTTGTGGTAAGTGGCTGTCTGGAGTGTGTGTTTGTGTGTGGGGGAGTTATTTGCAGTGTGCTGAGCTTGTGTTTGTCTGTTTGCTTTGTTTGTTTGTTTGCTTTGTTTGTTTGAAGGAGCTTCTAAAAGGTTTGAAATCTAGAAGCCTCTGTTAATTGGCTAAGCCTCAGTCAGGGGGAGGGGCTACCAGAGCTATATAAGCCTGTGACTCAGCGACCAGGGAGAGCGCGACCAGGAACAGCTAACAGGAGAGTTTGGAGAGGGAGTTTAGAGGGCACTAGTGACTTCTGACCTTCTTTAAAACATAACTCTTAGAATAATCCATATTCCAGAGGTTTAAAAAGAATCCCAGTTTATACTTAAACTTATTCACCAGCAGCAGAGTGGGTGCTATCCTGTTTATTGCATCGAGTGTAACATGTATGATTACCTGCCCTGTGGGCGGGTGGCATATGTGTGCACCCGTTGCAAGGAGCTCCTGACCCTCAGAGACCGAGTTCGGGCTTTGGAGGCCAGGGTGGCTGAACTGGAGGAGCTAAGGGAGGTAGAGAGCTATGTTGATGAGACTTTCCGGGACACTGTAGTACTGTCCCACCTCCAGTCTGAGAGCCCCAGTG